TGGGAAGTACAAAATTATGCGCACCATATTSAAAAATRTTTTGAAATCTATTGAATGCACAGGGATAATGACAGAGTAGAAGAGATGAGGACACCCTAAGGCAGAAATCACCATAGTAAATGRCTTTATACCACGTCGGCAGCAAGGAAAGGATTTTCGTAGGAGAATGGCTGAAGCCCTACRCAACCRCYAGAATTGCAAGTCTGGGCTGTACATGATCTAMAMAMATWTMCMYAATCTCATTGATAAAATAGAGGAAAATTTTTCAACAACCTTACAGTATACCATGTGTATGGGCAAAACTACTGCAATGGTCTCGGGACGCTTTAATCTATCAGATGTTCTACTTTGAGTTATTTTCAAACCGCGAGTTTGATCTAGTTAAATAGACGAACCGTATAATTTCCGGAACAAAAGTTAGTGGTGTTTAAGCAAAAGAACTTTTCAAATTAAAACAGTACTAATTATTTCCACACGGCTCTAATTTAATTTGAAATGAAAACAGGCCCAAAGATCAGACCACCTACTGGTACTGCTCGCTCTATTTTACTTCGTAGAAGAAAGGAAAGAAAGAACAGAAGTAAAAAAAAACTTTTAGGGAAATTGATAAGTACGAGACATTTTTTAACGTTCTTTAATGCATTTCATTCAACATACTTTCCTCATATACTCAAATGATTTTGGTTATTTGGCGGATGACGCCGGTAATTTATCTCTCGTAGTTATCTCTACATAATTCAAAAACTAAACATTTCAAACCTAACGTGGGTCATGAATAATAACGTACTGTTTTTGTCCAATTTTTACCAATATAACTCAAAACAACCTGAAACAAGCATTAAAAATACATTATTGAAAAATGTATCAAGAGTAATTACTTAAGATAAGCAAAAGTCAACTGTTGCATTAAGCTATTCAACTAACTTTAATATAAGTTAATCTAATATAAGTTTGCAAAATATTAGCCAAGTAATCTGCAAAATTATCTAATGATTTATTTCACAAAATTCCTACTTCCTTATTTACTCTACCGTATAATTAAAAAAGAACACTCAAATGAAATAAGCACCTTGCTGAAAAATATCCTCTAACCAAATGTTAGATAAGAATACAAGTACAAATCCCAACTGGGCTTTGTGTTTTTATAAAGGACGGCACTAATACGTGACGAGGTTTTTTCCCCATGGGAGGGGTATGAATTGACGCAATTATATCAGTTCCCCTCGTGCCGAAAATAATCGTCTAAAGATGAGTGAATTTTATTGCTCATGCCAGACCTTCATTAAAAAAAGTATTAGGAATGGATTACAGGTACATACAATAAAGCAATACGGATTTAAGTTGTTTTGATAAACATCTTGGCATGTGTGTTTGTTTTCCTTTGTTAATTATTTTAGTCATTATACTTTATACTATTCTTATTGTTAAATTACTGTGTCGTGTTTTTGTTTTACTGATTTTTCTGGTTAAACAAGCGAGCAAAAGAAAATCTAAAAATACCCATCTAACTACTTGCTGACGTGAATGTAATAATACTAATCCATAAAACAAAAATATTATTTTTTTGTCAGAATGTAGTACAACTTGTACGAAAGAATTTACTAACCAACCGAATGAATAATAAAATGAAGAACCTGATTAGCGTTAGTGAAAAATTTAGGTGACCTACTCGAAACCATCCAGGAAGGATTGTGATCTTGTAATTGGATATGCAAATATAACTTTCTTGCTCGTAAAGTTTTTGACTCATGTTTTTTTCAATGCTTCAAATCACTCCAATCCCCTAGTGGTAGTCGACCCGTCTCTATTTTTTTCGGATATTAATTTACTTATTTATAAGACTCTATTTCCAGTAGTACAAATATGGCTAGTGCAGATACGGCTAAATGAAAAGCGTCAATATTTATAAAAACAGTTACACAAAATAGTATTAAAATAATCGGTTTACGTATGCGACTTTAAGTTTCGTTAAGATCCTTTAACTTTTAATTTGAAATTTTTGAAATTTTGTATTTTTTACATTATATGGTAATTTTTGGAACAATCTGACACAAAAGTGGACACTTTTCTGTAATAGATGACCTGCTGCTGGTAAATTTTTATCAGCAGTTGTTGAATTCTTGCCATTCTCTAAGAATAAGTGTTTGTGCTTGTGTAGCAAGATCAGGCGTTCCAGTATGTATTTATTAAACGTAGTTTGTAAATTATTCTAATTGCAGTTGTTGTTAGTTGCAGTTTTTCGTCATATCGTCATGAAGTGTGTGTTAAATTAATTTATTCACTTTTACGCACGTATTGATGAAAAATAAATTATAATTTTAACAAATCATCGTTTAGTGCCATGGTATAGTGGACGCAATATTTCACATGATGTTCATTCATTCATTCATCAACATTGACTACACATGAATTACATTTTATTAATTTCTTGTCCATTATCGGTTAATTATCTCTATTTTGAACACGGTTTTTTGAAGAACTGCTTATCCGTTTCTGACGCTGGGGTTATTTTAATTAAATTTGATAAATTTGCAAATTCACTTTCTATTCACAGCATAACAAGAGATGTGAAATGTGAATCTCGTTTGGTTGTTCGATTAAGGCAGATAATCTTTTATTAAACTAGAATTATAATCCATCCAAATCGAAAACAAACCAAACTAGGGATGGAGAAAAACATCGATGTTTCGCAAACATCGATGTTATTTGTTCGATTTTCGATATTTTTCCCATCGATGTTAGAAACTTGGGACACCGATAAAACATCGATGTTAGATCCTGAAATAAATACATCGGACATTTGATGTTGATACTAGATAGAAACATTTTCTGCGAACTCTTTGATAGTGCCGATACAAACGATACCGCGGCATAGCGGTCCATTTCCAGTTGCAATCGAAAAAAAACCTCTTTTTACAGTCAGTTGGGCGAAAAATGAAAAAACAAATAAATTTGAAATTTGTATGCAACTGCAACTATTAGATCATCGCTGTTATCAAACATCGATATTACCTTTCGATGTCAACATCGATGGCTACCATCAATGTTATGGGATCGATGTCCCATCCCTAAACCAGACCAACTCAAACAAATGTACAATGGTGAAAGGGAACTTTGAGAAAATTTTTGTTTGTAAAAACAAAAATACGTTTCGCAGTTTGAGGTCATTTAATTTCACTAATTGAATTTCGAAATGTGCTTACCTTAATTAATCTACATCGGAAAGTAAATGAGCCATAAAATATTGAGAGAGCAAACAAGAACCAACTGTAAAAAACGAAAGAGGAAATATAAATATACACCGTCGAAAACTAAATATTTGTTCAGTGTACGTGCCACCCTTTCCACGTCGATTAATGTGTTGGTCTTTTTAATCAAATGTAACTCAATACTTAAGTAATAAATGTTGTGTTCATCAGAGCTTTCAAGAAGATTAAAAGTAAATATATCCACCTAGGCAAGGCGCAATAACTAAAATAACGTAATATTTAACTGATGTGAAGAATAAATTTACACCAGTGGCACACCTTGAAATTTTATAAGTACATAATACAGGGTGGGCCAACGAAAACAAAACCGTTCAAATTTGGGGTTCTTAATATTTTTACGAAAATCTCTTGATTAGTTAATTTATTTWATCGAGTTAATCTGGAAGACTGATTTTCAACTAACCTTGGCATACATTATTAATTTAGAAAATGTATGCCAAKGCTTAAAGTAGCAACAACGCTACACATGAAAACTGATGATGGTGGAAAAATAMACCGAAACGTATTTTAATTGATAAATAGAGACAATAAATGACTGAAACCCAGGAATTAATTTTGATTATCCTTTATCCCATTGAATAGACTTTTTGAATTACCATTGAATAGGTATTTTCACCCTTAAAATATAGGTGGAGGGTAGGGTTAAATTACATCATATTTGAAAGCTTYATCAGTTATTGTGTATACTTTCCTGACTGTGCTTCAATTCCAAATCAAATTCATTCCTGGGTTTCAATCATTTATTGTCTCTGTTTATCAATCAAAATACGTTTCGGTGTATTTTTTCACCATCCTCAGATTTTATGTTAAATGTTAAATGTCTTATTGTTAGAAAATTATTCGTTTATTTTACAACAACGCTTAATCATTAGATTTTAATACGATTTAATTAAATGTTAGAACTATGAAATTTATAGCCATGAACTAAATCATGTATCCTCTGCCGAGACTTGAACTCTGGTCCAATTACATTGAATCGCGTTGAAAAGGTAAAAAAGGTAGAATGCCCGTCTTAAATTAAAAAAAAATAACTAATACGTAAACAGAAAAGCACTCTACGGTGAATGCTTACGGTAAAATTCGTAATCTGTTTATGTTATAAAAAAGTGTTTGTTAAATCGGACTTTCTTCTAATTCTTGGGTAGGATGTGTTTTTAATTCTGAGTCTTGTAATGTTTCAAGTAATTGGATTATTTACTTGTATGCCGAAATAGATTTCATTAGAGTAACCAGACCGACAAAATTTTATATTTTTCATATTTTAGGCAAATTTTCAAATTGCGTTATAATAAATAATTTTTTCCAGATTGTAATTGCTTCGGTCTGAAGCAAAATTGAATGTTTTTACTATTAGATATAAAACGTTTCTATACATATATATATAAATAATCTTTATTTCCTACAGAAAAAGGCTATCGACCCAACGGTCTTTCTGCCAACGTTTCTATTAGGCTTTCTTTCACTTGTTTCATTCAGTTAAATAGACCCAGATCTACACCAACGATAGAAATAAATTTGGTTATATTATTCTTACGCTAATGACACTGACCCCTATGGTGTTAAGCGCTTGCATTATCTGCTAATTTGTGTATATTTTTCTATGAGCTGCGTGTGTGGCACTGAACTACCTCCTTTGGTAATTAAAATGCTACAAAATCCTGATTTCACCAACTTCAATTAACTAAATTAAATTAAAAGGTTGTGCACACACACAAAGTTTAAAAAACTTACCTTCTCCTCTTTCAGTTCCCAGTTGAGAGTTGATTCAGCATTATCATCCGTTGTTTCTATATCCACTTCGTGATCGCTTTCTTCTGAGTTGTGGGATCGTGTATTTTCCAGTATAGGCTGAACCGGCTTAAATGCCGATTGATATGTTTTATCGAGAGGGAAGAACGAGTTTTCTGGTGGAAAAATCAGAGAATTTTGCTTCAACCAAGAAAATGAAGAATAGGAAGAAAAATTGAGTGGTTTATGGCATATTAAGTCCATGGCCACTCGAGATATGGGTAGTCGAAAGTCTTGACAATGGGCTATTCTGGGTGAAGGAACAACTGGTTGATTTTGAGATTCTGCTTTATTTTGTTTAGTTGTATGAGATACTACTGAGGATGATAGAAGTCGCTTTCTAGTTCCACCATTGAACATAGCTTTAACGTCTTCCCAAGCATGAATAATTTCCTCGGGCGGATTACCACTTAGTTTCATGTGCCTTCTCCACGAATTAAAGTTTGCCGCGTCTGGTTGAACGTATTTGTCGTTTGTTGTTAAACGATGAGAATGAAAGATGAACTTGTTCGGAGAGAAAAACAAACCGCAAGCGGTGCATTTAATACATTTAGCCCGAGAAGAATTGTATCTAGAAGGAAGAAATGATCCTCTACATCCCCAAGCACACTCATGATGGACCGTAAAAGCAAAATCATCTGGAAGCCTTGGAGGAGCATTGTCACCGAGGAAACTTTTACAGAGGCGTTCTGACTCTCTTCGAGTTATCATGCCACATCTTCTCGAAGATACAGGCATAGCACCAGCTCGTCTGAGAATTTCGAGTTGTACGGGTGTACATTGCACACAAGTTATTCCTGCAACAATGAAAATGGTATTAATTTAAGTTCCTTGCATTAGAAACGAAAAAATAGCAAGAAATACGTCTGTAACTGGAACATTCAAAATCTGTGTCAGTTATGTAATTTACGTGAATTTCTGAATATTCGAAATCAATTTTCGAATAAAACGCATTTGTGTTTTGCTATAACCCTAAAAGAGTTTAGTTTTTTTGGTTCTTTCAGCGAAAAATTATTCGAATTGTTGCACACAACTGAAGTCGTTATTTAATTTAGGGATTTAGGGAATATCCCATTTGTTGAGCGCATATTACGCGTTACGAATACAACTTTAATGTGAATTAACTAATGAGACCGACAAAGTCTTATTTAAAAACATTTTTTTATTTTCACAATTTCAAATTTAGTTTTTTACATTGCCAAATTTACTAGTTGGCATATTTTCAACCAAATATGTGGTTTCCCATATATAACAAAATATGACTGAACATTTTGTATTCATATACCTGAATGACCAACATCTAGAAAGAGCATTAAGTTTCTCGGGGTTAAGATTGAGCAAACTTTGCGCTGGGGCCAACATTGCAATTTCTGAATACGAACTTAAATTCATATTGTTGCCTGATTCGAAATATAAAACCTTGTTTACCGACAAACAACTGTTCTCCATTTATGATGCCCAATAATTTTCTGCGAAGTCTGGCCCTTGTATTAGGTCTGAGTAACACTGTGTTGAGTTGCGCTCTTGAGTTGTTGCCGCTCTCTGAGTTAATGAGATTTAACTGATTTATTAAAGGGAATTAAAGTTTAAGAAATCTTAAAAAAGGTCATCAAGACTTCTTATGAGTAACGTGTGACCACTTCGTCCAAACAACTAAAAAAAGTTATCAACATTTTTTTATAAGTAACGTTTTTCGAGCACCGGAACTGAGTTATTGCGTCAAAAGCTCATACATTGTAAATACTACAGATTGTCAGAAAGCCATCCTCTGAGCTTCCGCATGTTTGATCGACTCTTGGATAGTGCTTAAGTAACTGGATTCAATAGACAAAAGGACGATCTATTTTACCCCCTACCACAGACAATTACTTTAGACTAGGTTTTATTGTCAATATTTCTTAACAATATTGCTGCAGCGAGCCGGAACCACCGCAAGTCAAGGCCTAACTGCCCTGACGTCACGAGTACGCCGACTTGACTAACTTTCACATGAAAAAGGTCCTCGTGTACGTCAGAGCTGTCGAGCCTTGACTTGCGGTAGTACCGGGCGAGCGCGTAAAAGCAAGCGGTGGCGGCAACGCCGCCAGCCAGATCATTAGTGACAATTCGAGACAAGAATAGGGAACATTCAATATTTGAATTAGACTATTCCAGAGTTTTCCAACGGCCATACAGAGAGAGAGATTCTAAGGGGTTCTAAAGGTTTCTTTGGAGAACAGAAGAAAAATGTTTGAAAATAAGCCGTTGAAAATCGAATTTTAACTTTGTTATTAAGTATTATTTTGAAATGGTCCCATGTTCGATTGGTACCTTATTGGAATACTTAACCGTTCGAAAAGACAAATTCCGATTTCTACCTCAAATTTCGAAAACTTTTGATATTTAGCAGGTCTTCTTCTACAATTTTTTGATAAAAAGTCAAAGCCGCAATGATATTTTTGTCATTATCAGGTACTTACAAGTAGATAGCTTTTGTCAAAAATAACACATGTCCACAAAATGATTGTGTAATCCAACTTTGCCCGTTCAAATCATGCATAGAGCACAAATACGTTTATGCTTCTTTTTAAACAAGAAAAATGAAGCACTGAATGATATTTAACAAAACGAGAAAATGGTAAAATTTCATGAGTCCTTTTATAAGTAAATAATCTCAAAGATTCTTCTTCGGATAAAGGGATGTTTAAATGGATAACTCCTGTCGTCCGATTTCCGATATTACACGGAGAACCAGCAGAAAATTTCCTAGAAATTTTTTAAATTAAAATAATTTTCATGTTTTACAACTTTTAGTTAAACTACGTTAATAAAGAAAACACGTAAATTTTATATTAGGGTTTTTACACACGCCATGTGAAGTTAGCTGACCCATCTGTTCCTGGATTGCACGTTTTACAGATAAGCCAGGTATAATCATGTATGTTTTACTGAACCAGTTTAATAAAATTCTAGGCAAAGTTTTCTCAGGAATACCCAACGAAACAAAAATATAATACACAGTCCTGTCGCAAATATTGAAGGGTTAATCATTTTTGTGTTCAAGAGAAAGTTTCTTGCAAGCATTCGTTTTTGTTATGTACTTACCTAATGCCACTCTTCTATTATGAATTTCATTGTAACTGAAATGTTTCAGCAGCGTGTTAGATATTTGCGCCAAACACAATCGTTCTTGGTTTTCAATGATCAAAGATACAATGGGAACACCGTAAAGTACAACAGTTGAGACCTGAAACTTTGAAAATCGAAATTAGAATTGTTTACAACAAACCATATATATTAATTCAAAGATAAATTTTACGCGCATTATTTGATAATTTGTTATTTTTTGTTCCCTTAAGTGTTTTAAGCGTATGTACCTGGTTCGGCCGAGGACTAATTTCTTTCTTTAAAGGTGTAACACTCGCAGAAAGCTCTGGCGTATTAGTTTCTACAGAATCCATTCTGGAAGTGGATGCTTATATTATATATATGTATATATATGTATGATATCCTTTAATTGTCTGGTACGGACGTAACACAAGAGTGGAAACAATTCCCCCGATCACCACACTAAACCAAAAAGTTCATCTTACACTATATGCACACACTTTTTAGCCACCTTATACACCAACACCAAAACACCTTATCCAAAGTCAAGGAACGAATGAAAACATCTCGCGGGGTGCCAGATTGCTTTTTGGAAGCTCCGCCTTGAACGCTCAAAATGGGGATGTGTTTACATTTCAACCCTCTACTTTATCCAATGGAGAAAGCAGCTCGAGTAGCGACGTCGCCAACCCTTAACTGTTGACCAATAATATTTTGCTATCTCATGTCTACCTCTATTAATATTTAACAGCCTTTTTTTATCTTTCAGCTTTTGATGTAATTTCCAGTTGCATCAACTTGTTTTTCCTTACTCTTAAATATAAGCTTACAGTGAAATCAATAATCACATTTTAGAAAATAAAATGGCCCTAGAGAAATTTTCTCCATATAAGAGCATAAGTTACGTGTTTTGCTGATACGGTCCATTTGAATTTGGCATTTAAATTGAGATATTGAGATAATTGAGAATATTTTGTAAGAAAATAATGTTGTCTATTGCATGAACGGCAAAATTTTAAAATGTTGTTGGGAACCCGAGAGGCTTTGGTTCGAAAACACGATTTTTAGACAAAGAAACACTTTAAATAATGATTAATTTATTAACTACAAACTCATTAATTATTACTACAATGATATTTAAATAAGGGACACAGAGAGAAACTGCTACTGGTTCAAGATTGAAATATAAATTATTGGGATCGAGTTCAAGTGTAATTTAGATATTAGAAACTTGAATGGTTGAACGTTTAGAGTAGTGTCGACATTTTATGTACAGTGTGTAACAATATATTCAAAAATAATAAAAATTATGAAAATTATGTTAAATGTAAAACCAAGAGTTATGAAAGTATTAACAAAAATTATTACACATATGTTTGTTCTCTAGTTGGATTAGTTGAAAAACGATTAATATATGTTAGTACCACTAGTTAAAGTAAAAGTTTTTCGCGTTTATTTATTTTCTAAGAGTTCACATTATTCGCAGGATTTACATTTTTTAAGTTTTCTAGTTGTGGATCTCGTAGCTCTTTGGAGTAGATTTTTTACAATTCAATGGAATCGTAGTCATGGATTTCGAGTGGTGCAGTATAACTCAAAATCATCTCGTTGGGACAGCTATTGGCAGTCTGGCGTATATGGTTACTAACCAGTAGATCCGGAAAAGCGTACTTGACGTTTATTTTAAGGTGTTCGTTGTAGATGATCGTTGCAGATGAGATTGTCGTAGGTTTGTAGACTACTATTGCTTAAGTTGTTGTGGCTGCTGACGGACACCAGGGCTTCGCAGTATCTTCTGGATATTACATTGCTGATCCAAGTGAATATGAGCCATCGACATCGTTTACAGTAGCACCAACATGTACTGAAATTTTGACTGTCTTTTACTACTTTGGTATCATAGATATCAGGTATGCTGGTTCAAATTTAGTTCACATGTCAGTCTTTCCTTTACAACATGCGAGATTGTTTTCTAGCAAATGTAACTTTTTGGCGGGTTCTCTATGCGATTAGCTTGAGTCTTGACTTCGCTGTAGAATTTTCTGGTGTTGCTCAGTAAGAGGTAAGGATAAGAAGGATTAATATAGGAATAGATTGAGTTATTTGAAACTCGTACAGGTGAGGGAATGAGACTGTACATTTGGAATGCTTCTTTTACCAGTGGAACGTGATTGGCAAGAAATAAGAAAAATTATTTACGTAGATTACCGAGAGTGTGCATATGTCAAGATATTTATAGGCGCATTTTAAATTGTCTGATTCGAAAGAAAATTCGAGATTTGAAGTTATTTTAATTTTGGGAAGACGGGAAGAAATAACTGTAGGATAAATAATATTTCGCTGAAAAAGGATTGCAGATATAATCATATCGAACCCTTCCATCAGTTTGTTTTCTAGTTGTGTTAATGTCAGTGACTGTATGAGCAAAAGCTTAGGGAATTTATTCACTTAATTTTTGTCGAAAATTTATTATAATCTTTAATGCAGAGTTGTTTCTTAGGAAGCGATTGCGTACCTTCAGTTTGCTTAACAACGTTTTGTATTGCTTCAGTATAATACTGTGCGTATAAGGTATATTTTAAGTATAAAACATCCGCGTCTGGGGTACTAAAAAGCCATCTAATAGCGTATGAAACACCGTTAAAAGGCCGCTTTTGGATCTAGAGAGAATGCCAGTTGCATGACCTGACAAGTGACCTGATAAAGTAAAATTTATCGTTTATGATTTTAAGATTGAAATTAGTTCTAAAATAAAAATGTTTCTCGACGGATAAACTCTAATTGTTTGCTGGTGTCATTGTTTTTCTTTAGATTGTTGCAATGCTAATTGATAAAAGTTAGAAGTGAATTTTAATTTCTTCTTGTATATGCTAATGTTTGTGAATGATAAGAGAGTAATTTGTTCGTGAGTTATTCGAGTAACTTAGAATAGGGATTAACGTATCATCTGAATAAAATGGTTTTAGTATGTTATGATGATAGACTGCAGTTTTTTATTGCTTAAGAGAAACTTAACTGTTTGGACGATTAACTCGTCATATTTTAAAAGGTCATTTACACAGGGGAGACATTTTTTCGTTAGACCAACTTCGGTTTGTTTTGTACGTGTGCTAAATCTCGTTAATTGAATAAATGTTGATGAACATTTCCTGGTATAGACATGTCCTAGTATGCTTTTGAAGTTTATTTTGATTTGGTTATCTTTATTCAATTTAAAAAAATGTGTGTATTTTGTGTTTCCTTTGACAATAATGATCATCATAAGTATATTTGAATTCTGATTTTGAGGTGAGTGAACTTGGTATTGACGCTTTATCTCCAAAGAGTAATTCGAAGGGATTATAATTGGTACAAAGTGTGATCTTTGTGAAGGACTATTGGTTTGTGGATGGCAGGGACTTGAAATATATGTTTGATTCTGAACAATTTATTTACTTCTTTTATGAGTAGAAGATCTCGATCGGATTTATAGAATTTTAGAAGATTTTTATTTTCCTTTTGGCCATTGGCCATTGTAATAATAATATGTATGCATTTTTATGATAATTATTTAAAATACCTTACACTTTATAAGATAACGTGATTTTGATTGAATTTAACGATGGTTCGGGACACTAGATATTTTATCTTAATATTACATCGAGTTGATTTATGCCCAATACCAAGACCCGACGTCGTTCTGGGAAGTTTGAAAATCTACCAGGAAAACGTTCGAAATTGGTCCACTAGTTTTAGGTTTCGGCTTATTTCAATTGCGATTTATTCTTTTATAGCAATCGGCTATAAGATGTCCTGACTTTTTGCAGTAATTACAAAATGTTGAAGATATCTGCTGACTATTAAATGTTTTTAGTTCCCGTTTGTTGTAGTGAATCTGATTATTTGGATTCTTGAAACATTGTTCATTAGTGTGGGACTTATTTTTGCAGAAGTTACAGAATTTTGGATTAGATATAAAGTTTTAGCTGAATTTTTGTACTAGTAAAGCACGTTCTTTCTCTCTAGCGGATGCTAGCGCATCGCCAAGGGTTGTAGGCTCTATACTACGGAGAAACCTTGATATTTCCGGATTTGAATGGCGGATAAATCTTTGTAATGCTAAACCTATGATGGTTTGCGATCTACCTGGCACTTCTGAAGGGTTATAAAAGGAAATTGTATCTAAAAGACGACTTTGCAATTTGTGAATTTTTGTGTAGAAACTGAGAACATCTTCGTTATGATTTTGTTCAATTGTGATTAATTCTTCCATTAATTGGCTGTAATTATTTTTATCAAAGTATATTTGCATGAGATTTGCTTTGAGAGTTGACCAGTTAAGAATATTCTTATCGCGCAATTGGGCTTTTGCACTACCAGTAATTTTTGCGATTACGAAAGCTAATAATGGTTCAATTTGATGTTGTTGAGCAAACCGAAATGCACTTTCACAGTTAGCTATGAATTCAGGAAATTCGTTTTGATTGCCGTCGAAAGGTTTTATAATAAGTGAACTCAAGAAAGTTATAGGAAGGGATTCGCTTGTTGCTTGTTCGATTGCACTCATGTTAAATTTTCACAAACTTTGAAGGAATAATTTAGGAATTTGAATTTTGGAGCCTATTAATTTTAAATGTAAATATCTTGAAATAGCAAAAGTGTAGTTTAATCGTGCTTTGAAAACGATAAAAACAAAATAGTAACAAAAGATTTAAGGAAAGTGAAAGGACTTACTGTCTCCTTCTTGCTTACTGGATGTATTGTTCTTCTCGTAGGTCTTGTTGATCTTGGAGGTGAGACTCGGCTATGTGCAGGTGACTTCACAAAGGATTAAATCCAGTTACGACTGCCCCAACTTATGTTTGGAACCCGAGCGATTTTGGTTCGAGAACACGATTTTTAGACAAAGGAACACTTTAAATATTTATTAAATATTTGAACTCTTATTAACTATTACGATGATGATATTTAAATAAGGAAAGGAAGAAAGACCGTCAAGTATTAACTTTCAGCAACGAGTTTAAGCAAGGAATAAGCTTAACAAAGTGGCTGTTTCAGATTGAAAGAGACCGTATTTATACTAACTTTTTATGACGTTTCGTTTCTGGAGATGGTCCTATTTGGAGCAAAAGGGCGAGAAGTTATCTTTCGCCGAAAACGGTGTTGAGCTATATCATTAAGATGCGAGCTTTATCAATTTCTATGGCGTTCAGGCGTGACAAAAATACGATAACTTAATTGATTTACCAGAAGTGTGCAGCTTTAAAGTTAAAAGCGTTTTCGACTGAAATTTGAATTATGGGGCTCGGGGTTCGAGTTAAGTGTAATTTAGATATTAGAAATTTCGATGCGTGTGTGACCGCTTATCGTATTC